ATACCGAGTTTGTGTGATAGCTAAAAAATATTTTACAATAATTTATTTTATTTATTAGTATACTTTAAAATTCAATTTACTACATCAATAATGTAAACAAGTTATTTCAGCAATTTAACTTTTAAAATATCTATTGCATTGCGCACAATATTTTTAAATTACTTTATTATAACGAGTAGGTCAGCGATAAAAATCCAATAGATATTCATGTAATACACAATTCAATGATAAAAATATTGGAAATGCAATAAAAATTCAAATATTCTGATGGATTACATACGAGTGTATAATATAATAGCACAAAAAATAACTGTATTATATGGGGTCATTCATAAAGTGCGTGCACACTGAAATATAAACTAGGGCGCATACGGTACATAATAACAAATTCATACAGAATATAAGATTAATTTATGTAGGTGTCAAATTTGTTATTAAAATGTTGTGTACGTACTTATTGAATGGTGCCAATCTCAAACTCAAATAAATATCTAGATAAATGTGGGTTGACAAAAAAAATTCAACAAAATTGAATAATAACATATACGGACAAAAAATAAATATAAAAAGATTTTCACTCTTAAATATACAGAATATTCTGTGTTGTGTGTGAATACAAATACACAGAATATTCTGTATATTTAAAGAATGAAAATCTATTTGTTATGTCGAGACCTCTCCATCAAAAGGGATGGGAAAGTAGGCATAAATTCAATTGAATAACAAAACTTTGCCAGATTTACAGATCCCGTTCCCCGTTACACATTCAGTAGGCACTGGTATTTTAAATATAAAAACAGCCTTTCCTATAGGGGAAAACTGTATGTATAGTATAGTATGTGACTCCAAATGTGTGTAAATGTATTGCTATTGTATTGTAATTGAAATGCCATTTCCTGGTCGTATAAATATGTTGTCCATCACTGTATCCGTTATACACCATTGCCTCGTAGCTCCCGGTGCCGTATATATCTTATGCCCTTTACGTCGAGTACTTGGAAATGACACTTAAATTCTTATACACATAATCCCATTGAATATATCAATACAAATGGCAATTGATTTTTATACTTAAATAACATAAAAATATTTGATTATTAAAATTGTAAAAGATAATGTCCATAGTTTACTAAATGTCATTATAATTTAATCAAATTAACAAAATAAAACAAGCTTATTAAATCATATTTAAATATACAAAAATTATTTTTGTTACTTCAATAGTTAAAAAGTTATTTACGTTTAAAAATGCAACAATTTCTTACAGTTTATCGTATATTTGCAGACTAACTTTTCAGCTATTTTTTCAACTTTGTACTAACCCACTAAATCAATTCCCCGTCGAAAAATAAAATGTCAATTTTCAGAATTCATCAATTACGTCATGCCATAACTTCGTTATTTATTGTCAGAAAAATTTTAAAATGTGATTTTTAGTATCAGCATTAAAAATACTG